CGCCCCCTCCCCCAGTGGACTATGAAGACGAGGAGGCAGCGGTAGTCCAGTATAATGATCCATACGCGGATGGGGATCCTGCCTGGGCCCCCAAGAATTACATCGAAAAGGGTAAGGTACCATCCCTCACCATAGAACTGATGCAAAGTGTAACACCTAATCACGGAATTTAAGAACCCTGGAAAACACTGGGTGCTGTGTTTCTGTGGCTCACTGACCCGTCTATTCTGATGTAAGAATTAAGAATCTTCATAAGAACATTTCGTTTTGTTACACTGTAGATTTAATTGCATGATCATCAGAAATTCATTTAAATCTAGATGTAGACACTCATGCGATGTTTCATTATCTCCTCCATAGTTGTTGCAATATATGATTATACAAAAGACAAGGATGACGAGCTGTCGTTCATGGAGGGCGCAATCATTTACGTGATAAAGAAGAACGATGACGGCTGGTATGAAGGAGTCTGCAACCGAGTGACTGGTCTCTTCCCCGGGAACTATGTTGAATCAATCATGCACTATACCGATTAATGTTGTTATTTTGTTTTGGGGTTTTTTTTGCTTTTAAAGTAGATTCTTATTACTCAGCCATACTGTGGACGATTATGGTTAACAGTCCGTCTTAATGTTTTACCATGTGCCCCTGTCTTCAGGACTTGCTGTTTACTGGTATATCTGAATGTCTACCTGGAAGTGTAGATCTTTGTGGCAGTTTGTGTATTGCTCACCAGCAGTTTATACCAGAGGCTGCCCATAAACGGTTATGCTTATATACTTACACATTGTTAACTTTATGGCCAGCCTAAATATTCTGGGGAAGTGGGGTATAATATTTAACAAATCATGATTCAGAGTGTACCATTACATGTTTCAGTGCAGCATGGTTACTAATACTATGGCAGACTAATATTTAAATCAGAAAACTTAAATGCTGGTGCTGGTCATACTTTTTGTTTAGATTCTCTCATTTTTAAAAACTGTTTGTTTAAAGCATGCATAAAAATTTACGTATTGAAATAGACTTAAAAATTCCATGATGCTTCCAATTTGTGTACTACTTTCTGGAGTGCTCACATTAGGTGAGTTGCTAAGGTCTCCATGTGAAACAAAAAGGATTATTTGTCATGTTGTAATTTGTACCTGAGTTTTTTAATGAGTGAATTTGCATCATAAATTTTTCCATTCATAAATATACAAAAGTAAACCAAAGGTTCTTGTCCTTTCCTTCACTGGTTTGCTTTTAAAAATACAAAAACTGATTTATTGCAGAATTAATGGTTCTATTTTCTCAATATATTAACTTGGAAAAAAATTTTAGCTTTATCTCTAAGTGTGTCCCAATAGCAATGTGATGGATTTTCGCAGATTTCTAAGATGATTTACTTACAAGTCAAGTCAGTCTACTGAATTCCTTTTTGAAAGTAACTTTTCAAACTAAGAAAATATTTCAAAGTATGTATGTACATCATTCTGTAGGTAAAATTCTGAAATACTGCCATGTTCTTCAGTTTTTCAGTGGACGGTTGTACACTGGTTCAACAAAAGGAACTTACAGGCATCTTTTACGTAGTGTGAAAGTGGATGCCATTAATCTGTGAGTAGGCACTGTTTTAATCTATTGCCTGGCACTAGCAACATTAAGCTTTTAAAATTGGGAAAGATGAATCATCGTAGTGAACAGAGAGAGATACTCAGCCAACAGATCTGTAGTCTTTTGACATAATTGGACTGCAACACATGCACTTTGTGTCTCCTTTTAATTTAAGAGAGTTAGAGGGATGTTTTCTTTTTTTATCTTGTGTATAATTCAATATTGCTTAGGATATTAGAGCATTCCAGGGTGGGTCTCTGTGTATTGAGGATTTATTTGGATTTCAAATTTCAGTTATGTACTGGGCGTTGCAGACTTAAAAACAGCATAGTGAATGGTGAGACTAGTGCAAAACATTTCTGAAAATTAAAGACCATTTATTGTCACCAAATCAATGTGACTGTTTCATATGCATTTTGCCTTTAATTTTAAACAAAGTATCATTAGTGTCAGCTACCTAACTTCCTTTTCAAGTTGAATGTTCTCTTAATTTGTATATAACCTGTTGTCTAAATTTTATGTACAATCTTTTATAATAAACCATTCTCCTATATGAAATTTTGGATATCATTAAAATATAACTAATGTGGATTTAGGTGCAGACTTCACAATTTCCTGACCTGATTCTTAAGGTGAATGAAACAAGACAAGCAAGCCAACTGAATTTTAACATTGACATCGATTATTTATTTGTGCAATGGCTTCACATGTGGTATTAACCATGTAAACAATACCACACATAATCATCAAGAAACCTTGATTAGACTACAGTGACAGATTCAGGTGATTTAATTACATTTTTAAAGTTTTCTGAAAAACTTTGCTAATAAAAAAAAAAACTGCCCAACAATAAGGTTGACATTATTTTTTCAAAAGGATTTTTGGTTGTCTGCACTTGAAGCAAACAAAGTGTATTCCCCAGATTTTTTAGGCACAGTCTGGTAAGATAGCTGCCAGAAAGAAGAGAAAGAGTCTTCATTTCTCTCTTGTGAGTACGATTTCCGAAAGCTGAATGAGGGCATCTCTCTCTGGGGACGGCCGGAGTTTACTGATCTCCCGTACTGCTCGGTGGCAGTACTGCTGGGCGAGGTAGGTTGTCTGCTGCACCCCGTCGCTCTGGGTAGAGAACAGACAGACATCAGGATTGGGTGGACTCTCTTGGGTTCCGGCCACGATGGATTGACTCAACTGCTGAAGTCAGATGAGCTGAAGGTGAGTCATGCGGTTCAACAGCCAAACTATGTTTCTGACGTTTTCTTTCCAGCTATAGTCTTATTTTTCGATTTAAGCAAGTTTTTATTAGCATACAGAGAAACTCAATATCAAGTAGCTTTTTTTTTTTTTTTTTTTTTAATTTGGTTTTTTTGGATTTCCCGGGGATTG